GGCGGGTTGGGGGCGGGGGTGGGGGGGTGTGGCACAGGGAATTTTTTGTTCCTTGTTTCCATTGCTGTCCTACCCCTTTCTTCTCACTGGGGTCTCCAGCCAGATTTTGCCAGATAGAGGGGCCTTTTCCTCCCTCCACTAGCCATAGGCAGACTGACCCCGAATGGGTTCCTTTCAGAGTCACCCCACCCACAACCAGCTGCTGCTTAAACCTGCTGGCTTCGACCTGTCTCTGGGGACCGTACTCATATTTGGGTTGGGGGGTGGGGAAGAGTTTGTGAAACAACTCAGACAAGCTATAGGCCACATGAAGCCTGGGACCACATTGTTAGCGCCTCACATCCTCATCTGACCCATATTTTTGGACTGGTGCTGTACCTGAAGCAGTGCACACACCTTTTGACTTCACCCATTGCTCTTCACCTTATAGAAAGTTCATGACCAGCTACTATTGCACGAAAAGAAAGTTTTCAACAATAAAGGCTCCTCTGGCCTCCATCTATTTTATGGTTGCTCAGACCTGAGAGCCCTTGGGACCCTCTCTTTTTAATCTCTCTGCAAATGGAAACTCAGTCACTTCGGACTGTTATCCAGTTGAGTCTGAGAAGTTTTCTTACAGGCTACACTTACACCGTCCATCCCTCTGGGCCTGCAAAGCCCCCATTAGCACTGTCTCCCACCCCTTTTCATTTGCTTGGGGGAGGACCTTTGGGTGGGAGATCAGTCAGAGTTGGAGCAAAGGTTAGAGCCAGGTAGAACCTACTCAAGTTTCGAGTAATGTAATGCTTGTGAAATCCCTGCCATACTGGCTCCTCTCCAGCATGTGTCTCATTAAGTGGTGTCTGTCTCTGAGGCAGGTAGGTGTGTGTGAAGGAGACAAGTAGTGAACACATACACCATATGTCTTGTGTGTGCAGGTGGCATACTTTTATGAGTGGAAAAGTTGCAGGTGTAATCAAAACTCCCTTTCTGGTCCTGATGTCTTGTTTATGGGATGCTTGTCTTTGGTGTGCTGGTGCCAAGCGTCACCAGAGATGCAGCAGGGAACAGACTGGTTCTGGGGAGATGTGTAAGAGAGGCTGACTGGAAATCCCAGTCCCTTCCCCTCCTGTAAAAAGTCCTGACCCTGCTGAATCTGGGGCAGCTTCTCTGCTGTGGAGGTTCAGAACAGCAAGGGAGGGCTGTGGTCACAGCAGGCTTGAAAGCTGTGTGCAAGCCCCCATTGGTCCTCACCTCCCAGTTACACATCAGTCCACACACAGGGTGGGGGAGTCCAGGTGTGTGTGTCCTGGGGTTGAGATAGGTGTGCTGCTCTGGTACCCCCCCCCCCCAGCCATTCTGTGATACCCACTTGGGTTCCTCACTCTCTAGCGCGTCACCTTCTTTGTAGGGATAAGAAAGGCGCTAGACATTCCTATGCTGCTGCTGGAGTCCAGGAGATTGACTCCACCCACCCTCTAGGCCCCTCGCTAGCCCTCTGAATCCTTAACCCTTAATAGGCTCTAATAAGACATTCTACTAATTGGGATAGATGACCCAAGGCTAGGATTGCCAGCATGACTGAATTTAGGTCTCATTGGAGGAAAAGTTAGGCCCTAAGAAACACAGTAGTCAGATGACAAGGTCAGGTATTGGTCCCCACCTCCTATCTGGTTAAACAAAAGTTGGGAAGGAATTGATGGAGGTGTGCACACAGTCAGTCTGGTTTTTTGCCCTCTTCCCTTCCCTATTCAGTTTCCTACTGTTCTCTAGGAAGAATGTGTGCTTGTGTGGGTAGTTACAGTTAATTTTGTTCACTTTGAGAGGCTCCCATCTCTTTTTAACAAATTAAATATTTATTCAGGCTAAAGTGGAGGGGGAAGGGACAGTGCCCTCCATGTCAAGGCCTGGAATGTGTGATGGGTGTGTTGAGATGAAAATCCTTTATCGTTTAAGCTGACCTCTGATTTCATCCAAAAGAGCGGTGACCAGGAGTGGGGACAAGAGGGTAAAGTCCTCGAGCTGGAATACTGACTGACCCGTGACAGGCAGAGAGGGATTTCGCAAGTGCTTCTGTGGAAGGTGGAGGCGGAGCTATTGAAAGAGCCTAGCAGCCAGAGGACCAGCCCAGCTTAGTTGTGGGCTGAGGTGTCAGCCTCCTTCAGCAACTCAGCTGAAATTCAGTGCCTGCTGTCTCTGCTCACACAGGCCCGCCAGCTCCTGCTCTCTCCTCTCCTCTCCACCTGGGAGGACACCACTTTTCTTCTGTCACAGCTTCTACTCTATAGGTCAGTCTGAAAGCTGCCACCTCTTCTCCCTCTATTCATAGGAGAATGAGAGGTGGGGAGCCTGGAGGACTTCCTTGGCTCCCCTACTCTGCAAGTCTAAGAATTTCCCAGCAATGTGCTCATCAATGACCCTTCAGGGACATCTGGTTGCTTCTCAGCCCTGAGCAGCTGCCAAAGACTGTCCCCTGACTCATCTGGATCCCAGTGGTCAGTGCCACACCGTTCTTCATCTTTGTGGGAGCAGGGAGAAGGAGGGAAGTTGAAGGCGGCAGCTCTTTCCTGGCTTGAAGATGTTGACTGGTTCCTTTGCAGACAGGTTCTTTTTGTTTTGTTTTTCAAGAAAGGGTTTCTCTGTATTGCTTTGGAGCCTGTCTTGGGATTTGCTCTGTAGACCAGGCTGACCTCAAACTCACAGAGATCCTCCTGCCTCTGCCTCCCAAATGCTGGGTTTAAAGGTGTGCACCACCACTGTCGTGGTGAGGATCCTGTCATTTCAGCACGTGAATTGCTGAGGCAGTAGGATCATGAGTTTGAGACCAACCTGTACTGCTTAAGTGCTGTCTCAAAGAATAAAGGAAAAAGAGGAGATGAGGGAAAATAGGTCAGTTTTACCAAATGTCTTGGTTTGCTGTTCAGAGCCATCCTCAGTCCTGACCCTGTGTCTGTGCCCTCACGTCCCTTTCGAACAGAGCTTACAGATCACTTTCTGCCTCACATGTAGAGACCTAATGACTTGGCATGGAGTGTCAGTCTTGTGTGCAGTTGTCTGATGCTCACTGCTCTTTGGGGATAGTACTTCTATTTCGTTTCTCCTATAGCTCTGCTGGCCAGTTAAGGGTCTGACTGTGTAGCCCTGGCTGTCCTGGATCACTGTGTGGATCTGCCTGCCTCTGCCTCCTGAGTCTGGGATTAAAGGTGTGCACCACCATGCTCAACCTGGATGACTTCCCTGATTGTTGACGTCTTCTCTGACTGGATCTTGCTTGCCCTCCAGGTTGAGAGCCAAAAGATAAGACTGATAAGAAATGGGGGGTGGTGTTTATTGCAGGGGATTAGGCCTGTGTAGTGGCAGAATCACCTAAGGTTGCAACAAACTTAAATGCTAAAACTTGAAAGCCACTGTTTTCCTATTACAGATAAGGAAACCAAGTCAGTGAAGGAAGCCAATTAATTCCAAGGCCAGGTAGCCAGAACCAGAGCCTTAGGCTTGAGTCATTGTTCTGTTCCTTTTCTTCCCTGCCAGTCTCTCACTCGACCCTCTCTTCCCTTCTTCTCTTAGGATGCTGCAGACCTTGTATGACCACTTCTGGTGGGACCGACTATGGCTGCCTGTGAACTTAACCTGGGCTGATCTAGAAGACAGAGATGGACGTGTCTATGCCAAAGCCTCAGACCTCTACATCACACTTCCCCTGGCCTTGGTCTTTCTTGTCATTCGATACTTCTTTGAGCTGTGAGTATGTCCTTACACCTTCCCCTGTCACCAGCCAACTTAGCAGATTTCATGTTGGTCCCTGGACACTGGTGTTCTGGCCACCCAGGTCCCTGCTGCCTGCAGCCCCTCCCCCAGGGCACCATTGTCTTCCCGAGGGCTCAGCACCCCCAGCACTTTCCTTCAATAGTTGTTTGTTCTTGCCCCATGCCCGCCTCCTTGAATGGTCAATAGTGAACATAGGCAGCTTTGTCAGCCATGGGCAGCTTGGGAGACTAGAGGAAAGGGGATTGCCAGGAAACATGGGAAACTGAGGCCCAGATTTAAGATGCCTGTACTTGTGGTACTTTCTCCTCCCTGTCTAGGGGTTAGGAGTGCTCCAAGGGAGCCAGACACCTCTCTCTCATGTCCCTTCCCCAGTTATGTGGCTACACCCCTGGCTGCCCTCCTGAATGTTAAGGAGAAAACCCGACTACGAGCACCTCCCAATGTCACCTTAGAACATTTCTACCTGACCAACGGCAAGCAGCCCAAGCAGGTATGAGCTGCAGATGACCCTGGGAGTTGTTGCTGAGTTTGGGTAGGCCATAGTTTGAATGCTAGCCCTGGAAGGTGAAGACTTGGCAGGGTGTGGGCCTGGCTTAGGTTATTACTGGGAGAGGCTGGGCAGAGTAGGGTCACCTCTGATTTGAAGGCTGAATGTAATGACCTCACTATGCTTAGGTGGAGGTTGAGCTTTTGTCTCGGCAGAGTGGGCTCTCTGGCCGCCAGATAGAACGCTGGTTCCGCCGCCGCCGCAACCAGGACAGGCCCAGCCTTCTCAAGAAGTTCCGAGAAGCCAGGTGGGGGAAGTTGGGTGGCTGTTGTCTCTTGTTGGGAGGAGAGGGCTGTGGTATACAGGAGAGGTGAGGGTACCTTGAGAGGGTGTCTGGGGGCACTCACCTAGCCAGATCTGCTTCCACTTGCAGTTGGAGATTCACATTTTACCTGATTGCCTTTGTTGCGGGCATGGCTGTCATTGTGGATGTGAGTACTGGGATGTGGGAGCATAGCCTTTGTCAAGGTGGGCAAAGGCCATAGGATTTGAGTTCTTTTCTTAATCTCTCTTTGCAGAAACCCTGGTTCTATGACTTGAGGAAAGTTTGGGAGGGCTATCCCATACAGGTATGAGAGGAGTGTTCTATGGCACACAACATTCCATTATTAATAAGAGTTTCTTGAAATCATGGCACAGGACAGTCACAGAACAAAGTGTATCTTGAGGGGCTAGAAGGGTCAAGTTTGGAGGTGAGCCCGAGAGCTAGTTGCTGTGGGATCCCTCACACCTCCTTCCTCTCCCAGAGCATCGTCCCTTCTCAGTATTGGTACTACATGATTGAACTCTCCTTCTACTGGTCCCTGCTCTTCAGCATTGCTTCTGATGTCAAGCGAAAGGTAAGTCCAAGGACCAGGTGAGGCCGTAGGATAAAGATCCTTTCCTTTGACTTCTCGGGATATGGGAAACAGTGGAGCAGGGGAGAGTCCCTTGACGCCTGCATCTTTTCTACAGGATTTTAAGGAACAGATCATCCACCACGTGGCCACCATCATTCTCCTCAGCTTCTCCTGGTTTGCCAATTATGTCCGAGCAGGGACTCTCATCATGGCTCTGCATGACTCTTCTGACTACCTGCTGGAGGTTAGGCTTCCTCACAGTAGAAGCCCCAGTGCAGGTTCAATTTGTCCTAGTCTTCAGGGGGTTGAAGATGCTATTGACATTCCTGGTACTGAGGTGGGAGGGTATAGCCAGTGCTGCTGATCACACACACATATTAATGTGTATGGGAGAATCAGGAGCCCATGATGATAGATGGGACTATTTATGCAGTCCGCCAAGATGTTTAACTACGCGGGATGGAAAAACACCTGCAATAACATCTTCATTGTCTTCGCCATCGTTTTCATCATTACTCGACTGGTTATCATGCCTTTCTGGTGAGTAGGTAGCCGGCTCTTCTTGCCTTTCTTGCACATTTACTTCAGTCTTTCACCCCGTCCATGTTTACCATTTACCACTTTCCCTGAAATCCTTAGGATCCTACACTGCACGCTGGTATACCCACTGGAGCTCTACCCTGCCTTCTTTGGCTATTACTTCTTCAACATCATGATGGCAGTGCTACAGATGCTGCATATCTTCTGGGCCTACTTCATTTTGCGCATGGCCCACAAGTTCATAACTGGAAAGGTGAGGAAGGCGCTGCCCTCTCTTTTGTAGGCCTCACCACTCTCAACCCCCGAACTCCCCAAACTAATTCCCTGTTATGCCAGTAACTCTTTTGAAACAGCGTGAGGTTCTGGGGGTTAGCAGGAAACTTAGAGGTAACCTCTGGGAATTGGAATATACATAATCCCTTTCATCCTTTTCACAGCTGGTAGAAGATGAACGCAGTGACCGAGAAGAAACAGAGAGCTCAGAGGGGGAGGAGGCTGCAGCTGGGGCAGGAGCAAAGAGTCGGCTCCTATCTAATGGCCACCCCATCCTCAATAACAATCATCCTAAGAATGACTGAACCATTGTCCTAGCTGCCTCCCACATTAATACACGAAGCCAAGAAACTAGCCAACCTTCCCTTTATAGGGACATTTGAGCACTGGGGAGAAAGGATATAAGGAAAAGAGTCTACATTAACTCTCCTTTTGTCACCCAGTTGCCTTTAAACCAAACTCTAACCAGCCTATCCTCAGGTAAGAGAAGGTTGGTTATATCTTCTAGAGAGGGGATGGTCTTATTTCCCTCTCTATCTTCCAAGCTACTCTTTCTCAGTTCTGAGTTACAACTCTGAGTTATAACTCACATTCCTTATTCTTAAGAATTCTGAGCTAGCTGTTTGCCTTTGACTCCCTGACTTCAAGCCAGGGTTGTGCCTTACTGTCCCATCTCTGGGCCTCACTCTGCCAAAGCTGGACCAAGGTTCCACCTTTCTAAGCTCCCTAGCTCAGGCCAAAAATGAAAGCTGAGCTACTTTTAACTTTTTCTCCTCCTTAAGAAACAAATTAAGTGAAGGAGGGTATACAGGCTCCTCACCCTACCCCGGGGACCATGGTTCCAGGATCTCACTGCCTCCTTTCTCTGGCCTTTCTTTCCTTTCCCTTCAGCTGAGACAAGCTGGAGTGGAGTAGAACGGCAACTAGTTGTTATTTATTGAACATTTGGGGTTTCAGTTATAAAGCCAGAACTACAGCTAGGACCTGGCATTTCCGCAAGGGACCATTTCAGACCAAAATGTACTGTTAATGGTTTTTTTTTTTTTTTTTAATTAAAGTATATTAAAGGTTAAGTAAAACATGACAGTGTGTCAGACTATTAAGAACTGAGAAGGGGCCAGGTGTTGGTGGCACACACCTAGCACTGGGGAGGCAGGCAGATCTCTGTGAGTTTGAGGCCAGCCTGGTCTCCAGAGTAAGTTCCAGGACAGCCTCAAATAATACAGAGAAACCCTGTCTCAAAAAAACAAAACAAGCCGGGTGTTGGTGGCATACGCCTTTAATCCCAGCACTCTGGAGGCAGAGGCAGGCGGATCTCTGTGAGTTCGAGGCCAGCCTGGTCTCCAGAGCGAGTGCCAGGATAGGCTCCAAAGCTACACAGAGAAACCCTGTCTTGAAAAACCAAACAAAACCAAACCAAAAACGAACCAGCTGAGAAGAGATACCTTCCTCATGGTTATGTAACTTTTCTTTTTGGCTAAAAATTACGGAGGGCAAATAAAATAGAGGTGTAAGACTACTAGTGACAGAGGCCCACTAGGAAAATGACATCTCCCTGGGCGACCGGGGACTGAGAAAACAGATCACAATCACTATTTTATCACTTTCAAGAAACTGTACAAATCAGGGATGACAGACATAGAGCCCATGTGAATGAAGAACGCATGAACAAATCTATTTGAGCAGGACCTCAGGCTGGGGCTAGAGTGGTCATGTCTACCCACCCTAGAGCCCGCTAGCACCACACTGGGAGTCCTGATCCAGTCTACTAGCAACTGGAGAAAAGCTACATCAGAGCCTTGGGGTCAGAGTTCAAGCGTCAGGAAGACCCAGTTCTGGGGTATGGATGGTCACGGGTTCTCAGAGTGAGAAGAGGGCTGGTTCCCGTTAGAGAAGACGTCCTCTGCACTCAATGGCCCCACAGCAGCACAGCAGCTCTTTGCCTTCCACACTGCCCACTTCGTAGTTGTAGTCCCAAGTAAGCTCTGTTCCAGCCCGGATCCTCCTGAAGGAGAAGCACAGGGATGTGGTGATAAAGGCAGCAGGTAACACAGGCACCTGGGGTTAGAGCCTGACCACAAAAGGTATGCCCACCTCCCAGAATTTCCATGAAATTTACCCCTTCCTCATTATCCCTCTTACTTGCTGGCAAAGAAGGCCACCCAAGGGAAGCGAAGATCGTGAGTATCCACGAAGACATTCTGGACAAACAGGTTGGGGCTACAACTGTGCTGTAAGAATAAAGATGACAGTCACTTGGCCAGGGAAACATCTGGCTTTGTGAGAATTACCAGAAAATGGTATCTGATCTCTACCCCCATTATACATCATAGCAGTGGTGTTTTGAAAGAAAGCTACCTTATTCTGTGAAATCAACTTATAAGTAAAGGTGGGTTTATACAAAATCTTTAAAGAATTAGCAATTTGAGGGAAATGGAATACATATCCCTGCAAAATTAGAAGGGTCCAGAGTCTCACATTGAGGTAGCGGCCTAGGTTGCCTTCAAGTTTGGCATCAATGATGTAGCAAGACTCTTCACCATCATAGAACTGGCGTGTGTTCTTACGAACTGGTGCACTCTCCCCCTTGTCCACAGAAGCCATGTTGGTTGATTTAATAGCAATCCCATGGGTTGATTTAAGAGCAAAGCCTCGGGTTGATTTTACTGCCACCTGGCGCTTCGTTGGACCTAAAAAGAAAAAGAAAAAGAAAAAAAAAAAAAAAAAAAGGAAAAGGGGTGTGTGTGTCACAGCTATCCCAACTCCTAAGACATTCTACTACTTTCATTTAACCCAGCCTATTCCCAAACTTGTGTTTCTCCTGTCCCCTTATTCGTCCATGTGCTGGAATCACAGACATTCCACACCTTGGTTTTCCTCCATTTTTATTCCACTCATTGCAGTTCAGGGATAGCAGTAAGCTAGTGAGATCTCAGGCTAAGACCTTAAGTCACTAGTTAGGTGTGGGTGGTGCACGCCTTTAATCCCAGCACTCATGAGGCAGAGAAAGGTGGATCTGAGTTTGAGGCTAGCCTGGTCTATAGAGCTAGTTCCAGAACAGCCAGGGCTACACAGAGAATCCCTATCTTGCAGAAGAAAAAGGCACACATCAGTTTAACAGTTTAGCTCAGCTGGGAAGCCTGTCCAACTCTTAGGATCTGAACTATTTCCTTCTTTTAAAAATGTTTTTCCACTGGTCAGTGGTGGCGCATGCCTTAAATCCCAGCACTCATGAGGCAGAGACAGTTGGATCTCTGAGTTTGAGGCCAGCCTAGTCTACAGAGCAAATTCCAGGATAGGCTCCAAAGCTACAGAGAAACCCTGTCTCTGGGGGAAAACGTTTTTCCTACTTTCCTGTTTCTTCCTACTAATCCCCAAATATTTTCAGACTACCAGTCAAGTTTTTTTTGTCCTCATAGTCATCGCCATCAGAGCCAGAGGAGATGGTCTGGATGTCATCACTGTCAACAGCTGTGGCAGAAGTCTGACCAGCAGTGGGCTTTCGGCTGATTCCACTTTCCCCCTCACTTTCTGTGCTGCTGGACAGTGTCAGGATATCCTGGGGAAACAGAAAGAAGAAGAGCTAGTGGAAAGAAAGGCTGCTTCAAGTTCTTGCTTTTACCTACCATTTGGCAAAATGGGCTATGGCAATAGCAAAATTAGATGTTGCGAACAAGGTAGAAAGTCAAGACCAAAGAAACAAGTGGAGACTTACTTAACAGTCCTTCTAGTGAAGGACTTGTTCCTTTACTTTACTTGGACTAAGTAAAAGAAGGCAGGATAAGCTTACGAAGGTCACTCACATCAGGGTTGGACTGAGTAGAAGCCCCAAGTCGCCGACTTTGGGGCATAGAAGTTTTACTAGATGGTCGGCGAAGCCCATCAGACTTCATAGGAGGATTGTGTCCATAATTCTGAGAGCTTTCAGTGACTCTGATGGGAAGGACAAAGAATGAGAGGGGTCAGGTTACTGGCTATTTCTTAGGCTTCTTTTGTAAGTGTGAAAGGAGAAGGCAGACTTCCAAAAGCAAGCACTTACACTGACATCTTGTTTCGGTCATCAGGATCCTGGAAAGGAACAAATGAAGGGTTAAATGCTTCCAAGGTCCTAGGTAACAAAAGATCTCCAAAGAGAACATTAATGTAATGTAAGTAAGAGGCACACTAAAAAGAGGTGATGTCACTTTGTAACCTGATAGCAATAATAATATTCTCAACAGTATACTCCCCTGGCCAGGTCCTATCACCTTTCCCAATATTGGAACACAGGGAACAGCATTGTGAGCAGAGTGTGTTCCACGGACCCAACAGTTTTACTACCCATAATGGGGAATGTTTCAACAAAGATATACTTGTAATAGCAAATTTTTAAGCCAACCTGGATTGTACTGTATAGCAATGAAAAACAAAAAGAAACAAAAGCAACAAACCCTAAATACTTCAAATCAATTCTTTATTTCTTTGGTTTTGAGATGGAGTCTTGAACAAGGAAACCTCCCCACTTCAACCTCCTTTTGCACCAACGTTAACATGGACACACATTCCCTGACTCTTGCCATGCAACACCTTACACTGTCTTGGGAGTCTGCCAGCTAGAATGGCTATCACCAGATGCAGCTTTGAACCTTCAGAACCAAGTGTGGGGGGGGAGAGGGTGTTGCTCAAGAGTGTTCAACAACTTCTTACCTCTTTCTTAGTCTGCTTATTGTCTCCTTCATCCTTGAAGCTCAATCCTGAGGTAGAGGCCTTCTCAGCCTCTGCCCGGCCTGCCCCAGCCCGGCCATCTCCACGCTCACTATTCTTGAAGGAAGAACGGCTGTCAGAATCAGCAAACCCACCTTCACTGACACTGTTGCAGCTCAACCACGAGGCCACCTTGTTCTTGGGGGTCTCTTCAGATGAAGGTGGCTTGCAGCCCCCTACAGATACTGCAGGAGGGACAGGAACATTTGGAGGCCCAAGGTCTGGGGGACGGGAGTCCTTGGAAGCCACCTCAGACAGTCCGTTTTCCTTCTGACCCCGAGTCTGTCTCCGGGTAGCATAGCTACGCCACACTGAGCTGGTGCTGAAGTCTTCATCCTTACAGAAGTTATCATCAGAGCTGTCATCATTGGACTCTTCAGGATCCTCTGAACCGCTGTTGCCATCTTCCTGGTCCTTCATGTCCACCCCACTGCTGTCAGATGAACTGGCGACATCACTCTCATATCCTTCCTTAAAATTCTCCACACTTTCAATGTGGTCCAGATTTGCAAAGTACTCATCACCCATCTCCAGCCCTTCTTTGTCTGCAAAATCATCTGTCAGGATTTTGCCTGAGAATGAAAAGAATTGAAAGTTCTTCATCAGTGTCCCTACCCACATGGTAAATCATACATTATGTGCTCACTTTGGATGCCACCCTTGTCTGCACCATGAGAGCACTGTCACTACAATCTGTCACTTTGTCCTTCCTCTGACACATCCTAGCTATGCTAAGTATCTCTGGGAGAAAAACGATACAATGGGATCTAAATGAGGTCTCTCACTGAAGAAACAACAATAGCCAAAATCTGATCCCCCTTTACCATTTTTATGAAGCACTTTAGCCCTCTCTGGTCCATCCATCTACATAGACAAATCACTTATGTCTTTTCTTCTTCTTCTTCTTTTTTTTTTTTTTGGTTTTTGAGACAGGGTTTTTCTGCAGTTTTGGAGGCTGTCCTGGAAACTCAAATCAGTAGACGAGGCTGGCCTCAAACTCACAGAGATATACCTGCCCCAGCCTCTCCAGTGCTGGGATTAAAGGTGTGTACTACCACCGCCCGGCTCACTTATCATGTCTTTATAGAAGAAATTCCTGTCTCCTCTCATTCTCAGTCCAAATGTCACATTCATACATTTTTTTGTAGTGCTAGGACTGAATCCAGTGTGTCTTACAAACTAAGCATATGCTGTTCTCCAGAGCTACATTTTTACTTCTCAAACACTATGGTTTTTTGTTTTTTCAAGACAGGGTTTTTCTGTGTAGTGCTGGCTTTCCCGGAACTAGCTCTGTAGACCAGGTTGGTCTTGAATCCCCAGAGCTCTGCCCGCATCTGTCTCCCAAGTGCTGGGATTAAAGATGTATACCACTAATTCCTATCAAACATTATGTTTCTTGAGGCAGAGTCTGGGTATGTAGCCCAGGCTACCCCCAAACTCTCAAATGTTCCACCCTCATTTTCTGAGTTCTTAGATTACAGACACCTGCTACCATGCCCACTAGCATTCTGCCATGTTCTACTTTTCTCTGACCTACCATGTCCCAAACCCATGGAGCAATAGCCCTCCTCTTCCATCACTAACCTGCATAAATACAGACAAAAGAGCCTTTGGCAATGTCATCCAAGCAGCGGATACCCCAGCCCTTGTTCTGTGTCTTAAATAGCTGTAGTCGAACCTGTAGTCCATGTTGCACCAAGCGATTTGTGCACATGTTTGGGTCACATTTGCAGCGTTTGTTACACTCATAAACCCTGGGAAGTTAGAATAAAATCAACAACACGGTCACTAGAGTGCTGAAATCCATAAAACATTGGTGAAGATTATGAAGTAGGTAATGACCTAAGTGACTACATTTATAGAAGGATCCATCCGTGAGCCAGGAGTCATTTGCAAATCAACAACAGAAACATAATTCAGAAGGGCAAGTGATTCACAAAGGTGTCCAAAATAGTATTGTGCATAATATGAGTGTCAGAATGCCCACCCACTGGAGAAAAGATAGGCAAACAATGGGGTGAAAAAGACTGAAGCTATAACTTATAGATTATTTCAGTTCATAGAAATAGGGGAGCTGGTAAGCTTGCTCAGTGGGTAAAAGCACCTGCTGCCATGACTGATGACCTGAATTCAGTATCTGGAACCCACATGGTACAGAGATGGAAAGAACCAAGTTGTCCTCTGATCTCTAAACACCTGCTTCCACCCTGTAAATCTAATAAAAATCTGACATCTAGAAATAGGTACAGAAGATAAGCAGAAGCCAACATCACATATACTAAAAGATAGGAAAACTGTAATAATGTTTGTACAATCAAGTTGATATTCTTCCAGCCTGGTCAATATACTGAGGACAGGCAAGGCTACAAGAGACCTGGTCTTAAAAATTCAAAAGTCTAATTAATACAAAATTAAAAAAAAAAAAAACCACAATAACAAATACAAATAGTAAGGCTGGGTAGATGGGTCAGCTGCTACAAAGTGCTTACTGTGCATTCAAGCATGAGAACCTGAGTACAGAGCCAGCAATAATGTAAAAGTGGGGTGAGGTGATGCATGCCTGTAATCCCAGTGATGGTAGAGACAGGTGCACTCCTGGAGCCTAGACAAACTGGTAAGCCACAGGGTCAAAGAAAGAAAAAGAAAAGAAAAATAATAAAGCATGGCAATGGCTGTGCACATCTTTAATCCCAGCACTTTCTCTCTGTGAGTTCGAGGCCAGTCTGGTCTACAGAGAGTTTCAGGACAACCAGGCTACACAATGAACCCGTGTTGGGGGATGTGGCAGGGGTGGAGAGTGAAGACACATGTGACTTCTGGCCTGCACATGCACCACAAACTACTCCCATGATAAACCCTCCCCCCCTCCCCTGGCAATCTAGTTCAGCTGGGGAGAGCACTTGCTTACTAAGAAGCAATCCCTAAATAAGAATCCTAGCACTGCAAAAACTGGTGGTGCTGGTGTATCCCTGTAATCCTAGTACTTGGAAGGTGGACACAGGAGTTTCAGAAATCCAAGATCATCCCTGGCAACACAGAGTTCAAAGCCAGCCTGGGCTACCTGAGACTCTGTCTCAAAACAACAAAACAAAGGCCTGGAGAGACTGGTCAGCAGTTTAGAGCATTTGTTGCTCTTGTAGGAGACCTGTATTCAGTTTCTAGCATCCACATGGTGGCTTACAATCATCTGTAAACCCAGTTCCAGGGGAACCAACAGGCACTCACATAGAGCACATGCTTGCATGTATGGAAAACATACACACACACAGCAAATGTAAATCTAAAACAATTAAACAATAAAATAAAAACAAAGGTTTATTGTTCCCCAACTTTAGAAAGGACTGTTGAGACTGTGGATGTTGATCAGTGGGAGTGCCCTTGCCTTACATTAAAAGACATGGACTTGACTCCCAGTAACACAAAAATCAAAGTTAAAATTTGTTTTAAAAACATGAGTGGGGGCCGGGCATTGGTGGTGCACGCCTTTAATCCCAGCACTCGGGAGGCAGAGGCAGGAGGATCTCTGTGAGTTCGAGGCCAGCCTGATCTCCAGAGTGAGTGCCAGGATAGGCTCCAAAGCTATACAGAGAAACCCTCTCTCGGAAAAACAAACAAACAAACAAAAAACATGAGTGGGGGGCTGGAGAGATGGCTCAGAGGTTAAGAGCACTGACTGTTCTTCCAGAGGTCCTGAGTTCAATTCCCAGCAACTACATGGTGGCTCACAACCATCCGTTATAAGATTTGGTTCCTTCTTCTGGTGTGCAGATATACATGGAAGCAAAATGTTGTATACATAATAAATAAATAAAATCTTAAAAAACAAAAAAAAAAAACATGAGTGGGAGCCAGGGGTTGGTGGCACATGCCCTTAATCCCTGCACTTGGGAGGCAGAGGCAGGTGGATCTCTGAGTTCAAGGCCAGCCTGGTCTACAGAGCTAGTTCCAGGACAGCCAAGGCTACACAGAGAAACCCTGTCTCAAAAAACCAGAGTGGGATTATTGTTAACACACAGAGAGGAAAATGCACACACAGAACTACAGTCAAGCCATTTCCAGAAACTGATTATCATACCATCAGCACCTCCCCAGGAAGTTTTACTGTGTGCGTGCATACTTAAAAGTCTATTGGGAGTAGTGGAGCACGCCTTTAATCCTAGCACTCTGGAAGCAGAAGCAGGTATGTGCATGTGAGACTGCCCTAGTCTACATAGTGAGCTCCAGGTCATGCCTAAGGAGAGTCTAGTGGGAATTAGGGGACTATTCATGTAAATATCTTTGTTACCAGCATAGGAAGCTTCAGAGTAGCTAAACTAAGTATTATCCATTTATTCAATTCTCAAAATGTCTTTCAGTGGCTACTCTGTAGCACTGTACTATGTAGGCTCTGGAGATACAATGTGCTTGGAAGATGAACAGAGCTCTAGTACTCAGGGAGTTTACATTCTAATGGGAAAAACAAAAAAAAACAAAAACTGAGTCAACAAAGTTGTTAGAAATACTTATAAAATGTACAAAGGTGGTGCTGCATAACAAAACAGAACCAAGAGAGTGAAAATATACCATGTGCTAGGTAATTCCAGCACTTTAGGCAGAGGCAGGAGAATCAGGAGTTCAAGGTCATCCTTGGCTATATAATCCGATGGAAGCTAGGCCGGCCTGTGAGACCATGTCCAACAAACAAAATAAACAAAACTAACCCCCAGGGGGAAAAGGCCTACTTTCCAAGCACCCAGGGACAGGCTGAAGACAGAAGAGTGAAACTGAGAGATCAAGGTTAAAGACAGCCAAACAAAAGCAGCGGAAGGTGCCAAGAACACATCTCTTGCACCAAACCCCCAGAGGTAGGCTGAAAAACAGTGAAAAACGATCTGGGAAGTAACAGATATATAAACACCATTCAAATAAGTTTGGAAGGAAAGGACTAAGAAGGGGCTAGAGAACAGAATTTTCTATCTCGAGGGTAAAGGCTAGAATGAAACCCATGTGTGTAGCAGGCAATTGATAGTTTTAAGTAGATGAGTGACATATATTTGTGCTTATTCAGAAATATTTTTGCCAGGTATAGTAGTGCAGGCTCATAATCCTAGCACTTGGGAAGCCAAGCCAGGTAGACAGCAAGTTTCAATGGCAGCCTGGGCTACAGAGGGAAACCCTGTCTCAAAAAAGAACTAAAGAGTCTATTTCTTGTAGGACTGGGTATTCATTTAAGTGCTTTTCTTAGTTACTGTTCTACTGCTGTGGAGAGACACCAAGACCAATCTATAAAAGAAAGTATTTAGTGAGGGCTCATGTTTTATAGGGTGAGTCCATCCATGGCCATTGTCCTGGGACATGGCACTTTGTAGGCAGGCATGGTACTAGAGCAGCAACTGAGAGCTTACAATAAGACCCACAAGTATGAAGGAGAGAGAGAGCTCTAACTGGAATGGTGTGGGCTTTTAAAATCTCAAAGCTTTAAAAAAAAAAAAAAAGCCAGGCAGTGGTGGCGCACACCTTTAATCCCAGCACTCGAGTGGGAGGCACAAGCAGGTGGATCTCTGTGAGTTCGAGACCACCCTGGTCTACAAGAGCTAGCTCCAGGACAGCCTCCAAAGCCACAAAGAAACACTGTCTCGGGAAAAAAAAAAAAAAAAATCTCAAAGCTCACCACTAGTGATTCAACTCTTCTAAGAAGGCCACATCTCCTAGTCCTTACCAAACAGTTCAACCAAGCTTTCAAACTTAAGATCCCATGGGTACCATTCTCATTCAAACCACTGCAGTGATACAAGGCCTTGAGCTCTAAACCTAGCTCACAAATATGAGAAGATAAAAGCAAAACTACCCAAAAGCCATTTCCAATATGTATTTTGATATTTTAAAATTTATACATTTTGTTTTGAGATGGGGTCTTTACATAGACTAAGCTGGCCTTAAACTCACTATGTAGCTAAGGATGATCTTGAATTCTTGATCCTTCTTCCTGCTTCCTCCTCTAGAGTCAGGATTTCAGGCCTTACAGGTATGTGTCACATTTATTCAGTGCTGTGGATCAAACCTACTACAGCATGAACACTAGGCAAGCACTGCACTAAAGCTATACATACTCTCAGCCCTCTAACATTTTCATTTCTTTCCCTATTTATTTATGTAATCCTTCTGGACAGGGTCTCATTTCCTTTCTTCCTTCCTTTTCTAGTTTCTCTGTGTAGCTCTGGTTGTTCTAGAACTCGTTCTGTAGACTGGGCCGGCCTTGAACTCAGATATCCACATGCCTCTGCCGGAATTAACGGTGTGTGCCACCATGTCCAGGCTGAGGGTCTCATTGTAGCATAGGGTGTTCCTGTCCTTGGATCAGCTATGTAGCCAAGGGTGGCCTTATATTCTTGATCCTGACTATATTCTTTTGAGGGTTGGACTAACAGGCATGCACTACAATCTCTAAATTTTGCTATTTCTTTGAGACAAGGTCTCATGCTATAGCCTTGACTTTGCTATTATTCTGCATCATCCTCCTAAGCACTAGGGTTACAGTAGAAGCATCTTCTGTTATACTTGATTTGGAAATATATGTACTTTTGAGACAGGGTTTCTCTGTGTAACAGCTCTTGCTCTCCTGGAACTTACTTTGTAGACGAGGCTGCGTCAGAACTCACAGAGATCCACCTGCCTCTGCCTCCCAAGGGCTGGTATTAAAGATGAAAATATTTTTCAGACATGTTTCCATTAAATTCTTCTCCCCAGGAAGCTGTCCCAGCAGTGATCTGTTCTGCTGCAATGACTCTGGGTCTCCACACCAAGTGTGCAGTATGAGCTTGTAAGTCCCCTCATGTCACTATCATTGGAGGCATTTCCTTTACTCCATTTGTTTGGAGTCTTCTAGATCTCATGCTTTCCTGTTTCTTAACTTTCCTCTCATTGTGGTAAATATCTAGAAACTTTCTGAACAGAATAATGAAAACTTTGGGATACTAAACATCTAAAAAATATCCTTAGCCTACCAGAAAGTTTTGATAGTTGGCCTCCATTTAGAAATCCAGGTTGTAAATTCTGAATAAATTATCATTGCCATCAAATTCCTAGCTTACAAGAAAAAATAACTCATTTACATAGTCTATTAAAATATTAATATTATTTTATTATTATATATAAATATATATTATATATATAAATGTAACATTTTATAATTTTCTTTGTCCTCTATGTCCAGATATTTTTCTCATCATATTTGTCTCTTCCAAACCACTTATTTATTTGCTGCAAATTGGTGTTTTGCCTGCATGTATGTCGGTAAAGGTGTTGCATGCCCTGGAAATAGACTTACAGAGAGTTATATGCTGATATGTGGGTGCTGGTCCTCTGACGAGCAGCTAGTGCTCTTAATGGTTGAGCCATCTCTCCAGCCCTCATCATGCTTCTCTTTCAAAGACACAGATTCATTTTGTAGGTCTAGCTGGCCTAAAACTCACTATGTGGCCCAGGCTGGCTCTCACTTCCAAAGGTCCTTCAACTTCTGCCTCTTAAGTGCTGAGACTATAGACTGTTACCAACTATACCCAGACTTTTTAAAATTATTTTTTGAATTATTACTAAATTGCGTGTGCCTGTGTTGAGTACAGGTGCCCTGGGAAAAGCCCCTGGAAGAGTTACTGGTGACTGTGAGTTGACTAAGTGGATGCTGAGAATTGAATTCAGGTCCTCTGCAACAGCAATATGTGCACTTAACCACTGAAACACTTCTTCAGATACTCCCTCTTTACCTTTTATTTCTGGACAGGGTTTCAGGTCCTCAGGTTGATCCTGAACTCACTACGTAGCTGAAAATGACCTCAAACTTTTTTTTTTTTTTTTTTTTGGTTTTTCGAGACAGGGTTTCTCTGTGTAGCTTTGGAGCCTCTCCTGGCACTCGCTTTGGAGACCAGGCTGGCCTCAAACTCACAGAGATCCGCCTGCCTCTGCCCCCCAAGTGCTGGGATTAAAGGGGTGCGCCACCAACGCCGACCTTAAACTTCTGATCCTCCAGTCCCAACCTCCACACCCAGTTTATGTTTGGCTGGGGTCTGAACCCAAGACTATGCATGCCAGGCAAGCATTCTACTACCAAGCTACATCCCCACCCTTTGATTCTCTAATTATGTTTTTCTTTTGTAATTTATTTAACTTTATGTGAATTGGTGTGACGGTGTCAGATACCCTACAACTCAAGTTACAGACACTTGTGAGCTGTCATGTGGGTGTTGGGAATTGAACCCGAGTCCTCTGAAGAACAGTCAGTGCTCTCAACAGCTGAGCTATCTCTCCTGCCCCTCTAATTATGTTCTTAGTTGGAATCTATTTTATTATGCTGGGACTGACCCCAGGGTCTCATACATGCTAGGCGAGTGCTCTGTCACTGAGTCTCATGCCCAGACTAAATATATCCTTCAATTGCCTTTCCCCTTTCCTGTGGCAATTCACTCTCAAGGATTAGGTTTTTAGTTCCATGTACAGTTTGCTGCACTAGTTTCCAACGTTCATTATATTTCTTCTTTGACTTGTCCTTCTGAGTCTCAGATACTGTCACAAACTCTACATGTGGCACTCAGGGATGAGCCTTGTGCACTCATTTAACTTTATTATTCCTCTACTGAGGAAACCCAGGTCTTTATGTTTAGCCCTTAACTTCACTTCAGAAATCTATTTGTTTTTAGTGTTTTTGAAACCAGGCTGGTTTCAAATTCACAGAGGTGTGCCTCTCGGAATACTGAGAAAGGATATGCTTCATTATGCCCAGTTTACTCCAGAAACTTTACCATCTTCTTCATATTTACATTTAGACGGCTTAATAGGCACCTCAAATTTAACATGCAAATCCTCTGGTTTTCCATCTGAATACGCAACATCAATAACCAGTTGGTTCAAGACAAAATTTTAGGAAGTGATCTTGATTTTACATCTTTTATCCCACTAGTGTATCAAGTTCATATAGCTATCATTTATTTCTTTTTAAAAATGGTTTAGAGAGTCAGGGTTTCTCTGCTAGCTGTCCTGGAACACATTTTATAGACCAAATTGGCCTTGAACTCAGAGACTTTCCTGCCTTTGCTTCCCGAGTGCTAGGAGTGAAAGTATGCCTATGTCCTGCCTGGCTGTCTATTACTTCATTCTTGGCGCACATTAACCGTGCCCTCTGCTGAGCCACACCAGCCCTAACCTCCCTTAACTTCTACTGCCACTTCCATTCTGGTTAAGGCCTAGCGTTCACTACTTCTCTCATTTAGTCTCCTAAATACCTAATTGATCTCTTAAACTGTTTTTGTTGATCAAAGACCATGTTGTGTTCCCCTCACCCAAAAATTCTTTAAAATGGCTATTTCTTTCTTTCTATTATATCATGATTTTTGACTCTAACTTTTCTTTTTTGGAACAGGGTTTCTCTGTGTAACAGCCCTAACTGTACTGACTGAAACTGTCACTGTAAACCAGGCTGGCCTCGAACTCAGAGATCCGCCTGCCTCTGCCTCTTGAGTGTTGAGATTAAAGAAGTATGCCAATATCGCCCTGCCTAACTTTTCATTTTAAGTTAATAAAGCACTGCAGTTTGTTCTTCCTACTCTTTGAACACATTTCACTTGCTAGAGTAAGTCAGAACATTCACATAGCTATAAAATTAATAGTTCTTTAAAAAAATTAATCTTATATGTGTGTTTGTTTTGCTTGCATGTATATCTGTATATCGTGTTTGCGACTGATGCCCTTGGATGTCAGACCAGATCCCCAGGAACTGGAGTGACTCTGGTTTTGAGCCACCATCAAGTTGCTAGAAATTAAAGAGGTTTTCTACAAGAACAAGAGCTCTTAAAGCTGAGCATCTTGCCAGTCCTAGTTCTTCTTTTTTCCCATACAAGGTCTTGCTGCATAGTCCAAGCTGGCCTAGAAATCAAATAATCCTATCATGTCCTTCCAAGTTTTCTGCATAAGAAAATTATCAGAAACTATTTAATCATTCTCAATTTTTTTTTGAGACAGGATTTTGGTATTACTGCTCAGATGGGTCTGAAACTATCTTCCTGCTTCAGTCTCCCAAAGGCAATAGTTTACCTCAGTTTGGAATCATAGCATCTATCCTCACACTCAGAATAATCCTTAGGTTTCCAATGGTTCTTACAAACAGAAAAATAAGAACGTACTCCTCTGAGGTACCTCACCAACCCACTACTTACCCTGTAGGCAGACACTCTTCAAGCCTTTTGTACTGGTAGCCAGAGTTAGGGTTGATTTGGCCTCCTGGGGTACATGCTGTGGCTTGGATAGTTAGCTGATGGCAGGCACATTTAGATCTGTAAAGAGAAAAGCATGACAACTAAAGCTGTGACTGTGAGATACATGAAGGATGGGAGTTGGACACAGTTATGTGCATCTGTAATTCAACATTTGAGACATGGAGGTAGGAGAATCAGGAATTGTTAGCCTCAGTTACATAATGAGTTCTGGGCCAGCCTGAGCTACAGGAGACTGTCTTAAAGCAAAACTGCGTCCAGAGCCCATAACTTATAACCTCTGAGTGGCAGCCACTTGTCTCAGGCCAGTCTCTGCAAAGTCCAAGATGCCTCCCATGACAAGGAGGTGCACTTGCTGAGTAACCTGGCTGGCAAGGATCGACTGAAATGTGAGACACTTAGAAAGGCTCTAATGTCCACAGGCCACACTGAGCATGAAGCAAGCCCTACTTTGGGCCAGGTGAAGCTAAAAGCCACTTTTAAGCAGACCTTGGTTATGGAAGTTCCCTGGCCAGGGACATTTGTGGCCTTACCTTCAGTAAATAGCAACTTCCAAGAGCCCTTCATGACCTCAATAAACCTGAACCTTTGGGCAAAAGCAAACAACAACAAAAGATGGGGATAAAGGTAAAGGTGGTGGTGAAATTTCAGTTTTGTTTGATAAAACAGGAGGAGGAAGATACAGTTAAGAGTAGGGTAGATAATCAAAGGACAAAGCAAAGGGACAGAAATTTAGGAAAAGGAGAACCAGAAACAAACACACATTCCCAGGGTTATATGGGGCCACATCAGACTTGAGCCTGCCTACGTCATGACTTTCTTCTCTCTCTTATTTTTAATAAGGCCTCACTATGTAGCCAGTCCAACCTTCAAAGTTGTTATAAAGCCGAGAACTCAAGATGCTTCTGCCTCAGCTTCTCAAATGCCAAAATTACAGATATGTGCCATCACACCCAGTTTCTTTATCCTAATACCCACAGTGGCCTTAGCAGAATTGGAGCTGAAAGAGGAGGGAAAGGAAGACGGGGAAAGCAATACAAACAGAAAACAAAAAAAAAAAAAAAAAAAAAGGGAAAATGAAAGACAACTGTAATAAAGCTGGAGGCAGCGACAGCAAACCGGGCAAACCGCAACTCACTTATCCCGACACCCATCCTTGCAGTCACAGCCAACCAGAAATTCAGGGCCTGTGTTAATGAAAACACCCTTGCCAGGGATGCGCTCCTTGCTGTAGGCCACCTGGGGTGGGGGAGTTGTGTCAATCTCATTAACACAGGACAGGGGAACATCTTCCTTGCCGTAGGTGATGTCCAAAATATAGTAAAAAGGCTTAAAAGGCTGAAACTTTCTGTCGACAAGAACGTATGGATCCAAACAGAACATCTCCAGGAACAGGAAGTCACAGCCAGTCTCAAAAAGGTAGCGTTCTATTTCCTGCATTGTCCGAAGACAGAGACCACAGGGTGTCTTATAGATAACATGGAAGCCCATTTTGCGGTTAACTCTACGCCGGGCTGTCATCCTACGGAAGTCATATAGCAGCGGTACTAAGAGGGGATTCTTGCCCCGGTACTGTTCATTCCTCATGGGTCTGATCCGGGACAGACAAGTGTAACTGCAGACATGAGGTAAATAGAAAAGCTTCTCCATGGGGGCTCGGTAGGAAGGCTCAGCTGGTGCCCGCTCTAACATGCCATGGAAGGCTGGAGGGGCTGCAGGTGTTGGAGTAGATGCTACTGAGGCCAAAGGCGATCTATAAATGAAATGCAAAAATATCAGATCAGAAGATAACAGGACTTTTCCTTTTTTTTTTTTTTTCTTTTTCAGACAGGGTTTCTCTGTGGCTTTGGATGCTGTCTTGGAACTAGCTCTGTAGACCAGGCTGGTCTGGAACTCAAGAGATCTGCCTGCCTCTGCCTCCCGCCCAGTGCTGGGACTAAAGGTGTGCTGCGCCACCACTGCCCGGTGATAACAAGACTCTTTGCTGTACAATTATCCCCCTTCCAACTGGCTAAGGCATTTCTCTCATCTTTCATATAGCTTTTTTTTTCTTTTTTCTTTTTTTTTTTGAGAAAGGGGTATCATCAGCTCCCAATCCTCTGCTCCACCCTCCTAAGAGCTGGGATTATAAGTGTGTAACAATGCACCCAGCCAGCTGTGCTCTGGATCCTACAGATTAAGGTCAGATCCTTTCTTTTAGCAAACAAAAATGGACAATGATACCCCCTGTCAATTCTTCACAGACAGGATCGCCTCTAGTTCAACAGGGCACTTTCCCTAATGCATGTCTGTCTTAAGAAGTAGAGTTTAGTCCTTTACCAAAACCTCTGTATTTTGTGTCCTCTAAACATCCTTACTATCTTCTAGGAGTCAAGGAAAGAAATGATGGGGTCTCTTTCCTGTTGAAGCAATGATAATGGTACCATACTCAAGAAGTTTTGGCAAATGACTTTCTGGTGACAGTGTGTTTCTCAGGCATGGGATTTCTAATTTAACTTTTGTTGCTGTTTTTTAAGACCGGATTTCTCTGTGTAGCCCTGGCTGTCCTGGCACTCACTCTGTAGACCAGGCTGGCTTTGAACTCACAGAGATCCACCTGCCTCTGCTTCCTTAATGCTGGGATTAAAAAGGCATATAACCACCACTGCCCAGCTTAATTTAACAATTCTTTTTTAGCTCAAGTTTCTCACTAACATAACTTTAAAGTAGAGGCCCTTGGAGACCCTGTACAGCAGTCCATTTTGTCAAGCTGCCCACAGTGTCTGAGGTTTTCTTACCTGTATGTCTGGTTGATCCCAAGTTTCCCAGCAGTTACACTTTCACTGAGTGTGGGCGAAGCAGGGGAGGAATGGCCAGAACCCACAGATCCTGGCCGAAACGATGTGCTCTTTTTGGCCACTTGCTTCCGTGACTGAGCAAGTTGGCTTTCTAAGCTTCTAAGGAAGTTGGAAAGAGAACATACAGTAAAGATTCAGAAGTTACGTATGGGGAAAAAAAAAAACACTCCAAGTAAAAAGAATGAGGAGCACTCACTCAGTGTCACCTGCTTGTGGGGAAAGAGGAAGTGCAGCAGGGGGGGCCGGTGTAGCTATGGGCTGTGGGGGCTCCGTGAGCTTGAACTGGGTTCCAGTGCTGGTTAGGTCCTGTGTATACTGAACAACAGGACCTTTGCTCCTCACAGCACCTACAGGAAAAACAAACAAAAATTGACAGCTGTATTAGATATTCTTATTCGCACAGTCTATCAACTAATGCAATATAAAAATGCAGCAAAAGAAAACAGAGGTGGCTCAGGGTCACAAGCATGAGTGCCTGAATTCAAATCCTCAGAACCTATGTAAAGCTAGGCATGGTAGCATGTGTCTATAATCCCAGTGTTCCTGCAGGGAAACGGGAGGTAGGCAACATAGAAATCCCCAGAAGCCTATAGGCAGCTAGCCTTTAGATGCAGCAATGAACAGAACTTGGCTCAAAAAAACAAGTCCAAGTTTGTTTGGGTTTTTTGAGACAGGGTTTTGGGTTTTTTGAGACAGGGTTTTTCTGTGTAACTCTGCAGACCAGACTGGCTTCAAACTCACAGAGATTGCCCTGCTTCTGCCTCCTGAGTGCTGGGATCAAAGGCATGCACCACCACCTCCAGGCTGTTTTTTGTTTGTTTTTTGACACAGTGTTTCTCTGGGTAGTCCTGGCTGTCCTGGAATTCACTATGTAGATCAGACTGTCTTCAAACTCACAGACCCTGCCTGTCTCTGCTGCCTGTGCTGAAATTAAAGGAGTGCACCACCACTGTCCAGCAGGAAGTAGCATGTATGCAAATACCTGTATTCACATACAAAGGTGGCAAATGGCAACTTTCTAAATGTTAAGATAGATTGTTTTGATTATTCACACAAGTTGGTACACTAGTATATGCTGGCTTTGGAAAAACATATTGTTTCAAGGCACAGTCACATGTAATCATGGCTGGTCTCAAACTCATTATGTAGCCAAGGATGATCTTGAACTTTGAACTTATCTACTTTTGTCTTCCAATTGTTTGGAACTGACTACAGGTGTGCACCAACACACATGGCCTTATGTGGATATGTAGAAAGAATCAAAGTGATTGCAATGGGAAGGTAGCTCCACAAATCCATCACCACTAATGAAAACATTCTGGACACATATCTCTTATCTAGTGAGTTAAAAATAATGTTATGGTAAATAAAATGACAGCTGCCAGCCTCGTGTTGGTAGCGCACACCTTTAATTCCAGCACTTAGGAAGCAGAGGCAGGCAGATCTCTGTGGGTTCGAGGCCAGCCTGGTATACAGAGAAAGTTTCAGAACAATCTACAAAGCAATACAGAGAAACCCTGTCTCAAAAAAAACAAAACAAAATAAAACAAAACAAAACAAAGATAGCTGCCATATGTAATCTTCTTTGTTGCATAATATTTGTTTACACTGTAAAGATGTTATCTTTGCCAAAGTGCCTTCTGATTGGTTTAATAAAGAGCTGAATTGCCAATAGCTAGGCAGAATGAGGTTGGGCAGGACTTCTGGAGACAGCACTCTGGGAAAAAAAAAAGGGAGTCACCAGCCAGACTCAGATAGAAAACGGAGGTGCAAGATGGAAGAGAGGTAATGCCATATTGCAAGCACATAGATTTAAAAATATGGGTTAATTTAAGTTTTACGAGATAGTTGAGACAAGCCTAAACTATAGGTCAAACTTTCCTAATTAATAATAAGTGTCTATGTTATTGTGTGGGAGCTGGCTGTCAGGACAGAAAAAGGCTCATTACACTTCTTTGCACGTCTGCCCCGTCTCTTCCTTTCCCTAGGTGTCTTTTAGGGGCATACCCATATTAGGACGGGTTCTCAATTGTCCCCCTTGCTTCTTCTCCATTGCAGAAGCTGATGATGTCTTCATACTGAACATGGGTTCCAGGCGTGTAGAGCCTCGATAGATCCACTCACATCTCTTGTCATCCTGGGAGGCAGGATGAAAGGAAGGTGAACAAAAACCTTCAGGGTTAGAATCAATCCTGTCTCTTGTTTCAAATATATACCATGAGTCACCTCTGACCATTAGGTTTGGCAACAAGTGCCTTTTTCCAATGACCCTGGCAACTGTGCCATAATCTTACCCCAAACCCTTCTTTGGAAGAACATTACCAGAAAGAGGATCCTGACTAGGCTGCCATCCACCTCTTCAACTCGAGATTTCCACCATGTGCCTTCCCACTCAGTCTTAATAAGCTGGCCACTCTTGAGAAGTACCATGGGGCGGTTTGGGTAGGCAGTGATATATTCCTCTATGAAGTCTCGGCAGGAGCTGTCTTCTATGTCCTCCCAGGTCTTTTTCACTATCCAAAGGAAAGAAGCAGAGCTGAGGGCAAGAAGAATATGTCTTGGAGGGAAGGAGAGTTGTAAAATAACTACAGAGCACTTTTAAACCTTAAAAAGAACAAAATGAAATTAGAACCTCAAGGGAAACAAAACCAAGACCATCTTAACTATGGAGCCTAACATGCAAATGCATATACAAATTAAGTAAATAGTAAATTAAGCCATACACAAACCTAAGTGATTTGCATAAAATAAATGCATATTTCACTTTATGGAGATTCCTACTAATTGGTTGATGATCAGTCCTTTTCTCTCTTTTTTTGAGGCAGGGTCTCATTACATCACTATCTTTGCTTTTTCTTATCAATGTTGGCGATCAAGCCTAGAGCCTTCCACATGCAAAGTAAGAGCTAGCCACCACCAAGTTACAGCACATCTTACCAGCTACTATTTTATTCTCCTAAAATCTTAGAGTAAAATCTTTCTTTTAAAGATTTATTATTTTTATCTTAGGTCTGAGTGTTTTGCCTGCATGTATTTCTGTGCATCATGTATGTGCAGTCTCCAAAAAGGTCAGAAGAGGGCATTGGGTCCCTTAGAACTGGAGTTAGACAGCTGGGATCTACAGAATAGGAGTGCTGGGAACTGAATTTGGGTCCTCTGCTAGAGCATCAAGTATATTCATAACTGCTGAGCCATCCTCCAGCCTGACGTAGACCCACAGTACCCATATAGGCTAGGTGTCATGGCACACACCTGCAACCCTAGCACTTTGGGGGTAGATCCAGAAAGTATAATGGCCCACCTACCCACCAGCCAGCCAGCTAGCCAGGCTAACCTATTCCATTGGTCAAGAGCTCAGTGGGACACCATGCTTCAAGGCATAAGATAAAAAACATTGTAATAAGACACCCAAGATTAACTTCTGACTCACATACAGACATGTATAAACACACACACAGACATGTATAAACACACACACGCACGCACGCACGCACACCCTATATACACAAATACAAACACAAACTATAGCCATGAATGGTGGCATGAACCTATAATGTCATCATATGGGAGATGGGGGCATGAGGATTAGAAGTTCAAGAACAGTATTGGCTGTATACGGCATACAAAGGCAGCTTGGACTACAAGAGACAGAGGTCAGTAGATAAAGCACTTGCCATGCAAATATGACGGTCACAGTTCAGATTCACAGAATCCATTTAAAAGCTGAGCCAATGTGGTGATTGTCTATGATCCTAACATTCATGAGACAGAAACAGGATATCCTCAAGGCAACCTGGCTAGCTGCAGCTGGCAAGCTCCAGGTTTAGCCAATAGCAAAATAGATAGCAATTGTGGAAGACATCCAACGTCAACTTTGGCCTACAAACATGCCCAAATACAGGTGAACATGCAAACATAAAATTTAAAAACTCAAAACAAAAGGCTCTGGAAAATGTTTATTCCCCTGTTAATAATGATTAGCAGAAATGGATTCTTCTGCAATTAAAAACAATTGTGGGTCTGGGGAAATACTTCAGTGGGTGAGAACTCTTGCAGTGTGTGGACTTGAGTATTACTCTTCAACACCCATGTGAAAAAGCCATAAACACCTGTCAGTCCAGCTTTAGGGAGTAGATACAGGTATATCCTGGGAGTGCTCTGGCCAGCCAGCCTAGCCAAAATGGTGAGCTTCTGTTTCAGTGAGAGATCTTATTTCAAGGAAATAAGGAAGAGAGTAATAGAAGACATAGGGACCTCTTCACACCTGGCCTAAATGGATGAGTGTACAGCACAACAAACAGATTAAAAATAAGTGTGTGAGGTAGAGGCAGGTGGATTGTTGTAGGTTCAAGGCTAGCCTGGTCTACCATAGACAGTTCTAGGACAAACAGGACTACACAGACAAATCCTGTGTCAAAAAATAAGTAAAATAAAAAGAATTATGAAGGCTGGAGAGATAGCACAGTTGATAATGTGCACACTTTACAACCGTGATGATCTGAATGTGACCCCTAGAATATACATAATGCCAGTGCCAATTCAATCAGAACCAGCTCTAACTTCAGTCCCAGAGGATTCAAATGCATGTAGCCATATAGATGCAGGAAAACATTTATACAAATAAAAACCAAAAAAGGTAAACAGAACATGAAGAATAACACCCAACAATGCCTCTGGCTCATGCACATGTACATACATACCTTCTACAGTCAGCACTATGTAGACAACACTAACAGATATGTGAAACACCAGAGCAGCCTTCTTTAAACGTAAGTGCCTTAGAAATGAAATCAAAGGCACCCCTACGGTCAAAATCTTCTAGTGACCACTCTGGCTATAAAGATCTACCTATAAGTCAGCCAACAATGCTGTAACTGCAAACTGCAACACGACAACAAAATTCAGGCTTTAGAATCTTCAGAAAAAAAGACAAAGCAGAGGAGGAAACTAAGAGTTGAGGAAAAGTACAGGAACACTTACATGGTCGGCAAATGGGATACAGTTCTGACTGAGTGACATAGGAGGCATAACCATCATCAAAGAAAATCAGAAATCTGCAGCAGAAAAGAAAATGACAAAAGATGTGGAGGTTATACAGAGGGTTTCATCCCAGAATATTTTACCATACTTTCTATTCTCTGAATCACAGACCATAATAGCCTGCTTTCATTTCCACCCACAGGGTTTCACATAAACCAACACAAAATCCTCCTACCTGTCTGAAATATTCTTTCTTCTAGGCATGATGGCACACACCTTTAATCTCAGCACTCAGGAGGTAGAGGCAGGAGGATTGTTTTGTTTTGTTTTTTTTGTTTTGGTTTTTTGAGACAGGGTTTCTCTGTATTGCTTTGGAGCTTGTCCTGGAACTCAATCTGTAGACCAGACTGGCCTTGAACTCACAGAAATCTGCTTGCCTGTGCCTCCCGAGTGCTGGGATTAAAGGCATATGCCACAAATGCCCTTTTTTCTTTCTTTCTTTCTTTTTTTCACACTGTTTAAGGAATTTTTATTAAAGCAAGAATTTTAAAATCCAAATTACGTTTCCTTGCTCAGTCTATCAGTTCTGCTAGTTGAAACAGAACTGACATCCCAAGCTATTCCACAATAAAGAATAACAAAATTAAAGAAAGGAATGCTTTAAATTTTTGTACTTTGCTGAAAATTCTTTTGCTAGGGTCTATAAAACATTAATTTGTTTTTATATTTTACTATTTTTTTCTGTATTTTTTTGTTGTTTTAAATCAAGTAATCTAGGACTAGCATTGTTTGCTAGACCTGGCATTTGCTCGGTACATAAGGTTCAAGTTTCCTTTCCTTTTTTTATTTATTTTATATTTGGCAATGTTTTTTTCATAATATTTAAATTTTTCAATGTTTAGATATTTTTTTCTTCCTCACAGGTTCCAGGCATCATGTCAACACAGCATGTTGCTAACACTTCAACACAGACCATAGGTCCACGTCCTGCAGCTGCTGCTGCAGCCACACCTGCTGTCCACACCGCTCCCCAGTACAAATACGCTTCGGGAGTCCGCAACCCCTAGCAACATCTTAATGCACAGCCACAAGTTACCATGCAACAACCTGCTGTTCATGTGCAAGGTCAAGAACCTTTAACTGCTTCCATGTTGGCATCTGACCCTCCTCAAGAGCAAAAGCAAATGTTGGGTGAACGGTTGTTCCCTCTTATTCAAGCCATGCACTCCACTCTGGCTGGTAAAATCACGGGCATGCTGTTGGAGATTGATAAAACTCAGAACTACTTCACATGCTTGAGTCTCCCAAGTCTCTCCGCTCAAAGGTTGATGAAGCTGTAGCTGTACTACAAGCCCACCAAGCAAAAGAGGCTGCCCAGAAGGCAGTGAACAGTGCCGCTGGAGTTCCATTTGTTTAAATTGATCAGGGACCATGAAAAGAAACTCGTGCTTTATCTTTTTTTTTTTGTTTTTTTTTTTTTGTTTTTGTTTTGAGGATTCTTGTATGTTCCAGGCCAGTCAGGGTTGCATATGATACATTTCTCCAACCCCAGCACTCAAAGAGTTGGAGGCAGGGGGCTTGTGAATTTGAGACCAATCTAGGATATACAGGAAGTATGATGGAATTCTGAGCTATGTATAGAGATGTCTTTAAAAAGAGAGAGAGAAAGGAATGACATGGAAAAGAGAAAGGGTTTCTATTCACAAGGGAATGAGAACACAAAGGCTGACAGTGAAATCTTGGCACAGTATGAAGAGTGGGCGCTGTGCTCCCAGCTCCCACTCCCCTACAATCCACAACCCTGTCCAGGTACCTGAGCTTGTTCTTGACGTTGGGAGTCTCAGCTACAATGCCAGCATAAAGCCAGACCTGATTTCCATCTTTGTATTTGGCTACCACGCGACTGCCCACAAACAGCTTGTCAGCAGGAGGGTGATAATCATAGGCAATGTGGTTGCCAGACAGCAGACTCTTCCCTTTGTTGTCAAATTTCACTTTGTATTTCTTTCCCAGCCCTAGGAAAAGGCAAACAAAATTGAAACAAACAATAACAACAACACAACTGTAAGTCCTGAGTGCAACGTAGGAGGCCAAAGGAAAGGCTCTGGGGAAAGAATCAGCAATGGACTCACACAGGCTTCCTTTCCTTTGTCCTTCCTCTAGTTTAAACATACCAACAGTCTGGATGGCAATAAGGGTGCCTTTGTGCCATGTCTTAGTCCTCTTCTTGCCCAGAATCCGCATACTGACTATCAGGTCCCCATCTTTGCTCAGTTCTCCAGACATCTGACCCAAGGTTCCTACGGGGACAGAGTTGGTATAAAGAGTGATATCATAGGTTAGGGAAAGGAAAGGTCAAGAGGGCAATATGGTAGGATGGGGCTGTAGCTCAGCTAGGGGGAGTGCTTACCTAGCATCCACAAAGCCCTGAATTTCAATCTAGCTACTGCATATACCTTGCATAGTATTTAATGCCTAAAATCCCAGGCAGGGAAGGCAGGAGGATCACAAATTTTAGGTCATCCTCAGAAAAATATGACGCTCAAGGCCAGCCTGGGATACAGAAGACACTATCAAAGCAAACAAAGAAGGTAGTGCAGAAATAACAAAAGCTGAGTTATCCTGTGACCATTAGCCACTTCTGCTGAACTCTTGGACAAAGGCAGAAACACAAGACGACGCAATTGTTTATGCTAAGAGGAGAAACAGAACACTGAATACACCACATCGAACAATCTCAGAGTGACTGTGGCCATAAAAACAACATTAAAAGAAACTGACAATTAGAACAGGATTTGAGACCAAAGCTGATTGTCAGTAACATTTCAGAAAGAACTCACTTCTCTCTATGTAGCAACTCCTCAACACTAACCTTTATTTAGATCCTGGGAACTGCTTTTCTTGTTGACAGCATCCATGAACTTCTGGACATCTTGAGCTGATTTTCTTAAGGCAGCCATAGCTTCACGGAGCTGTAGGAAAATAGAAGGGGGTAGGGAGGGATGCACTTATTAGGAGTTAGGACACAATGAGAAGGCCAGGGACTCAGTAAAACAACACTTGCCTAACATGAGCAGTGACCCCTAATGCTACAAAAAACATAAATAAAACAGGAAAAAGAATACTACCTGGGAAGAACTTGTCTTCAACCAAACCAAATTCAATTATATTTGGATGTTCAGGGAGAGGCAACTTCTCAATTTTTCTGTTTTCTTGCAATATCTACAAGACGACTGTAACTAATGTGGCCTACTACATGGTGAATACATTGAAATTAAACTGACTGTATGCTCAGACCAAAATTATTCCCACTTTCAAAAGCTGCTTCTTCCATTTTTAAAGATAGGGCCATGTGAGTCAGGTGGTAATGTCACCACCTTTAACCCCAGCACTCGGGAGGTAGAGGCAGGAGAATGAGTTCAAGGCCAGCCTGGTTTACAGATTGAGTCCTAGGACAGTAAGGGCTATACAAACAGACCTTGTCTCAAAAAATAAAACTTTTAAACCAAACAAAAAGGATAGGGTCAACTATAGTCCAGGCCTGTGGAGGATGACCCTGAATTTCTAATCTTTCTGCCTGCCTGTCTTGAGTGATGGGATTATAGAGGTGCAACAGGACAAATCTGATGGTGCAGTACTGGAAACTGAACCCAAGGCTTCCCGAAGCCAGGCAAGCACTGTGCCAAATGACCAACATTTATAGCCTATCAAATTCATATATATTCTTCTAAACAAGTCTGTCAATTTTTTTAGATAATTAAAAAAAATCTGTTTTAGATTTATTTATGTGCACTAGTGTTTTGCCTGTATTTATGTGTACCACATATGTGCTTGGTGAAGTCAGGACAGTAGATCCCCTGGAATTGGAGTTACAGTGGTTATAAGAGATCATTAGGGTGCTGAGAACTGAACCCAAGTCCTCTGCAAGAGTAGTGAGTACTTTTACATAGAGCCACAATTCTAGTCACAGATTAATTATTGTTATTATTATTACTAAAGTTTTTGAGACAGAGGCTCACTGTCCTGGAATTCCCCATGTAGCCTAGGCTGGCCTCAAATTCATTGAGATCCACCTCTCCACTTGCCTCTGTCTTCTCAGAGCTGAGATTAAAGGTGTGCACTACCATGCTTATTGTTTTCTGTTATTATTTTGGTTTTTTTTCCGACAGGGTCTCTCTATACAACCCTAGCTGTCCTGAACTTACTCTGTAAACCAAGCTGGCCTTGAACTCACAGAGGTACACATGCCTCTGCTTCCTTATTGTTAGTATTAAAGGCATGTGCCCCCACCACCCAGCCAATTCCATGTTTCTTAACTTTTTATAACCAACCCAACTAACCTTCTGGTCTTTCGGAGTTCTGCTTCCAGCATCACCTATGGAAGACAAAAACTTTAATTAGTATATAGATGTAGGCAATGGAATTTTCAATGAAGCAATAAATGAATGAACTCAAATTTTAAGTAAGAAAACTTTATTGGTAAAAGCAATTTAAAAGTCTGGGATGGCTGGGTGGTGGTGGTAAACATCTTTAATCCCAACAGAGGCAGGTGGATCTCTGTGAGTTTGAGGCCAGGCTGGTTTACGGGTGAGTTCCAGGACAGCCAATGATACACAGAGGGATACTGTCTCAACAAAACAAAACAATGGAAAAGAAACATGTCTAGGGATGTGGCTCAATGGCAGAAATGCTTGCATAGCATGTATATGGCCCTGGGTTCAATCCCCAGCATCAACAAGGAAAACAGAATGCTCTAAATAAACACCTATATGAAAATATTAAAGGAGAGCAGGGCCTAGTGACAAAACCTACCAATCTAGCTACTTGAGAGACTGAGGCAGAAACATGGCACCTGCTGTGGCTACAGAACAAGAATTAGGCCAGCCTGGGCAAAGTAGACGCAGTCTCAAAGTAAACAGTAAGGTAGGGCAGAAGGCTAGTTTACACAGGGAGCTACATATCAGGAACACATAATCAAAACACCAATCCAAACAAACAAGCCAAGGACTAGAGAGGGCTCAGTGGTTGGTTACAAGGTCTGCTTTTACCGGACCCAGGATTGGTTCCTAGTACCCCGTCAGCAGCTTACACTGGTCACACTACATCTCAGAGAATCTGGTGCCTCTTCTGAGCTGAGTCCAGTTATACTCACATACACATTCCCAAACACAGACAGACACCACACCTCTAAAAAAAAAAAAAAAAAGATTTATTTAGTTATTTATTATGTATGCATGTATGCCTGCACTACTATCCAGATCTTATATTTGATGGTTGTGAGCCACCATGTGGTTGCTGGAAATTGAACCTGGGTCCTCTGAAGAACAGCTAGTGCTCTTAACTACTGAGCCATCTCTCCAGACACATTTTTTTTAACACGTAGTTAAAATTGAATCTCTCTTTGCTTCCTTCTTTCCTTTTCTCTTTCTTTCTTTCTTTTTTTTTTCCATGCAGGGTTTCTCTGTGTTAACCTGGTTGTCCTGGAACTTACTCTGTAGACCAGGCTGGCTTCAACTCAGAGAGATCAGCCTGCCTCTGCCTCCCCAGTGCTGGGACAAAAGGTGAGCACCACCACAGCTCGGCCTACTGAATTTTAGTTCATTGATTAGATTGTGACACTATCATGTTGTACTTACTTTCAGAACATTTTCATCAGTTCAAAAGGGAGCTCCATGGCCATTACCCATCATTCTTTTTCCTCCACTTCCCTAAACCCAGGCCACCAGAACTCTATAGTGTGTCTCTATGGTCCGTTTTGGACATTTCATATAAATGAGTCATGTAACATCTGTAGCCTACACAGGTCCATTTGTTGTGCCACATGTCAGTACAGTTTATAGCTGAACAGTACCCACTGTAAGTAGGTGCCATGTATTCAGCCATCCCATTCCTCAACTCATCACTTTCTACTCTTTAGCAGTCATCAATAATGCTAAGATAAACATCTGCATGCTTTTGTTTTTGTGGGTTTTTTTTTTTAATTGTTTTTGGTTTTTTCGAGACAGGGTTTCTCTGTATTGCTTTGTAGGTTGTCCTGGAACTCACTCTGTAGACCAGGCTGGCCTCAAACTCAGAGATCCCCCTGCCTCTGCCTCCCCAGTGCTGGGATTAAAGGCTTGGCCAACAACACCTGGCTAAAAAAGTGGTTTTGATTAACATATCACCCCATGATGAGTGATGCTGAGAAATTTTCTCATGTATTTATTACCACTTATAAATCTGTGAAAGTCAGATGCTATATAGCACACATGTATAACCTCAGCATTTAATAGAGAGGCAGAAAGATTAGGAATTTAAAGTCATGTTTAGCTACACATTAAGTTTTAGACCTGCTTGGGTTACAAAAGACCTTGTCTTGGAATAAACAAGTCATGCAACAAACAAAATCAACTCCAAAGTATCTACTAAAAGCCCCTGCCCATTCTCATTTTTGACGTAGGGTCTCACCTTTGTAGCCCTGGCTGGCTATGCAGACTAGGCTTTCCTCAAACTCAGAGATTCACCTACCTCTGCCTCCCAAATGCGGAGATAAGAGGCATGTACTTCCATATCCGACCTCCAAAAACTTGAAAATAAAATTATTTTCATTAGCCGGGGGTGGTGGTGGTGGTGTTGTTGGTGGTGGTGGTGGTGGTGGCGGGGGCGGTGGTGGCGGCGGCAGCAGCAGCAGCACCAGCACCACCACCACCAGCAGCAGCACATGCCTTTAATCCGAGCACTCAGGAGGCAGAGTCAGGTGGATCTCTGTGATTTCCAGGTCAGTCTGGTCTACAGAGTGAGTTCCAGGACAGGCTCCAAAGCTACAGAGAAACCCTATCTCGAAAACAAAAACAAAAAAACCAAAAATAATAATTTTCATTGTTATGTTATAGAATTCCTTCTATATTCTAGGCAATAGCAGACCTTTAGAATTTTGACTTTGCTTTTGAGATGGCCTCACTGTGCCACTAAGGCTATCCTGAAACTATGTTGTCAAAGCTGAACTTAATTCATAGTCATCTGTTGTGAGTTATTTGATTATACTGTGTAAAGAGATGTCACTGTGATTGGCTTAATAAAAAGCTGAACACCCAACAGCTAGTCAGAAGGTATAGGTAGGAACTCTGGAAGTTTGAAAAGAAGAAAAGGGCAGTTGCCAGCTGGAGGCAGAGGAAGCAGGATATGCAGGAGAGGTAAAAGTCACATGCCAGCATGTAGATTAATAGGAATAGGTTAAGTTAAGCTATAAATAAGGCTAGTTAGAAACAAGCATGAGCTAAAGCTGACCTTTCATAATAAGAAGTCTGTCATTATTTGAGAGATGGCTGGTGGGACAGGGAAAGACTCATTATAGTAATCCTTCTGCCTGGACTCTATGAGTCATTGTCTCCAGAAAAAAAACCAATAGACAAAAACAAAAAGCAAAAACATAAGAAATGCAAACCCTGTCAGTAACAATCACTGGTAAACACAGGAAGTCTGGAATTCTCATAATTCAATTTTGAGAATGTTATGTATGTCAGTCAAGTGTCCTACCACTGAGCTACTTCCCCAGAGACTGTAAAACTGGTATAATTGAAAAACTACTGTAATTTTGCCTAATAAGCAAAGCATTTAATTACTACAATGTTCACAAAAACATTTAAACAGTCCGGTGGTGGCGGCACATGCCTTTAGTCCCACTACTTGGAAGGCAAAGGCAGGTTGACCTCTAGGAGTTCGAGACCAGCCTGGTCTACCAGAGTGAGTTCCAGGACAGCCTCCAAAGAAACCCTGTCTCAAACACCCACCCCCCAAAAAAAACCCATTTAAACAAAAATATTCACAGCAGCATTATTCATAACTGCCCAAACTACAAAGAGCCCAAATGTAGGGAAACTCCAGGGAACTGGTGTTTTCCATCTGGGTACTGGGGCTTGATGATAAGAACTTTTACTGAATGAACCATTTCCCCAGTCTTGCTCTCCAACCTGGCCACAGAAGCTTCTTTTAGCAATGGGCAGCAACAGCTAATGCTGCTAATGCAGAGACTAGAAACTGGTCAAAGCACTTTCACCTGCCCAATGCCTGCACAAGAGTTAAATAAGTCAACATTCCAGCAAGGATGGGGGAGGGGCACCAGGCCCCACCACTCCATGAGGAACTATTGGCAGTTAAAGGCTGCTGGGGGAGGGGCAGCAAGTTTTCTTCAGGGATGCAGCCACTGGTGAGTAACCAATGATTCAGTAAAGAATGCCAAACTCATGTATGTGTAAACAACTCTAATTAAACTCAGACAATGAGAAAATAAAAATTAAAAAACAAAACAAAAAATGAAAGTTGAAAGAAGAAAGTTGTGAAAGATTGCAAATAGTATGGGAGACAAAGACTGGGGAGTGAGGAGTACAAAACTGTCAAAAGATAAACAGAAAATTATTAAACATTTATGTATAAAGTTTGGTGATGAACATCTATGATCTTGTTACTTGGGAGTTGGAGGCAGAGGGAAGATCAGGAGTTGAAAATAATTCTCCACCATGAAGTTAGTTCAATGTCAGTCAAATAAATAAATACAGCCCAGCAGTGGTGAATGACTTTAATCCCAGCACTCAGGAGGCAGAGGCAGGCAGATCTCTGAGTTCAATGCCAGCCTGGTCTACAGAGCGAGCTCCAGGACAAGCTCCAAAGCTACAAACAGAAACCCTGTCTTGAAAACAAAACAAAACAAAAACAAAAACAGCAAAAAAACACACACAAAAACAAAAGCAAAACAAAGAGTACTACACACCTAAAATAATTACAACACTTGGGAAGAGAAAGCAGGAAGGCCTGCTATGGCTACATAGTGTGTTTGAGGTCCACCTGGACTTCATAAGACTTTGTCTCAAAAAAAACATTCATCAAGCCAGGTGTTGGTGGCACACGCCTTTAATCCCAGCACTCGGGAGGCAGAGGCAAATGGATCTCTATGAGTTTGAGGCCAGCATGTTCTCCAGAGTGAATGCCAGGATAGGCTCCAAAGCTACACAGAGAAACCCTGTGTCGAAAAACAAAACAAAAAAACAAAACAAAAAAACCATCGAGTTTCCCAATGCCTCCACAGCTATTGAGAAACCCTGTCTTGAAAAACAAAAAGGAATGAATAATGAAAATCTGATGCATATGTAAATGGAGTATTATTCAACTCAGGAAAATGAAGGGATTGGTGATCCAAGACAAATATAAGCACTACAAACCACCCAGATATAGGATGATAGTCCATGTAACTAACAGATATCACCTGTCAGATTTCATAAGCCCATATGGAAGGAAATATGATAATCTGCACAGCATATGCACATGAATTATGCTAGCCTGCAGGCATCTCAATAGGTTTGGCTTGAATAAGATCTATGAAGGCCAAGTGAAGGTGACTGGAGATGAACACAATGTAAAAAGCACTGATGATCAACTTGTTGCCTTCACATGCTATTTAGATGCAGGTCTTGGTTTAACTTCAACTGGCAATGTTTTGGGGGCCCTGAAGGGAGCAATGTATAGAGGAGAGTGTATACCCCTCACCACACCAAACAATTGCCTGAGTATAACTGTGAAAACAAGTTCAATGCAGAAGTACATCAGAAGACAGCATGGGTCAGAAATACCTAATGGAGAAAGACAAAGACACTTAAAAAAAAAAAACGGTCCTTTCAGTTCATAAAGAACGATGGAAGAGATGCATAAGAAAGCTCATGCTGCTACCCGAGAGAATCCAGCCTGTAAGAAGTCCAAGAAAGAAGTTAAGAGGAAGAGGTGGAATAGGCAGTCCCACATTATCTGTTGCCTACAAGAAAGACTGAGTTGCTCAAAAGAGGGCAAGCTTCCTCAGAATCAGGAACAGGCTGCTAAAAGATAAAGTAATTTTTCTTTTTTTTTTCTTCTAAAGTAATTTTCTATGAAGATTTTTTTCATAGGACAATACAGTTGGTCAATTCTCTATTGACCAATCAGAGAAAAATAAGTCAACAAATAAATAATAAAAATCTGGTACATACGTAAGTAGAGTATTATTCAACTCTAAAGAAAAATGAAATCACAAGGATTTTAAGAAAATGGAAGGACTTAGAATGGGTATTATTAAACAAGGTCACTAAATCTTGGAAAGGAAAAACATTTCTTCCTGATATTTGGATGTTAGTCTACAATGTATACACATATATGTACACAAATGTACATAGAGGTGCAGCACACCACGGAGAAAGGAAGACACTGGGTGATGAGGAAGAATAGAATGCACCTGACAGGCACACAGGAGGAGAGAAGGCTAACTTTTTCTTTCTGTGTAGCTCTGGCTGTCCTGGAATGTACTTTGTAGAGATGTGCCTGCCTCAGCCTCCTGCTTCCCCATGCTGGAATGAAAGATGTGCACCGCCACAAATGGCTAAGGCTCGCCTTTTCTACTTTGTACTCTGTTAAGGATTTTTTGGTTTTTGCTGTGTGTGTGTGTGTGTGTGTGTATGTATGTGTGTATGTGTGTATGTGTGTATATGTGCGTTTTAAGAATACAAAAGTACAACTGAGAGACAGTGTGTGTGTATAATATATAAAAGTGTAACTGAGGTCAGGCATGACACACATGCTTTAATCCCTGCATTCAGCAGGCAGAGGTAGACAAATTTCTAAGTTTGAGGCCACTTTTGTCTACATACTGATTTCTAGGCCAGCCAGGGCTACTTGTGAGACCCTGTTTCGCTTTAATTCCTGCATTCAGCAGGCAGAGGTAGACAAATTTCTAAGTTTGAGGCCACTTTTGTCTACATACTGATTTCTAGGCCAGCCAGGGCTACTTGTGAGACCCTGTTTCAAAAGAAAGTAACAATCAAAGTGTAAAATCCAAAATGAAGCTCCATAGCTTCAGAATGACTATTCTATACTATACAGAAGTTCAAATAGAGACTTTTGGTCTGGGCTATGTTAATCTAGCTGCATGATTATTTTTATTTGCATGTTGTTTACAATAGTGATTTCAATTGAAAAAAATTAAGTGATCATAAAAAAAAAGCTGGGTATTGGTGGCCTACTCCTTTAATCCCAGCACTCGGGAGGCAGAGGCAGGGGATCTCTGTGAGTTCAAGGCCAGCCTGGTCTCCAGAGCAAGTGCCAGGATAGGCTCCAAAGCTACACAGAGAAACCCTGTCTCAAAAAAACAAAAAACAAAACAAACAAACAAAAAAACCAAACAAACAACCCCAATGACAGGATATATACATATATTCTAGTTATATGTATCTGTAAGTGACAGACATACAGAGAAGCCAAGATGGGTAGTTGTTAGGGGTGACCATGGAAACTGAGGCAAATAGGCAAAAGGAGTATTTTGAAATGATACAAATTTGCTAAACTTGGATTACTACATAAATGTACTAAAACTCAAATCATAGTTAACATGTGTATGTTTTATGTTATGAGAATAATACCTTAATGTAACACCATATAACAGAAATCCCAGCACACAGGAGGCAAAGAGAGGTGTTTCATTTTGAGTTTGTGGCCAGTCTGGTCAATGTAGGAAGTTCCAAAACAGCCAGGGTTACATAGTGACATTATCTCAAAAAAAAAAAAAAAAAACAACAAAAAGGGGCTGGAGAGATGTCTCAGTGATTAGGAGCACCGCTGTTCTTCCATGAGCTGGGTTCAATTACCAGCACCCACATGGCAGCTCAAAACTGTCTGTAACTCCAATATCTGACACCCTCACAAAGACAAACATGTAGGGGAAACATCAGTGAACATAAAATAAAATTTAAAAAGATTAAAAAAACAACAAAAGGCTGGGGAGATGGCTCAGCAATTGGAAGAACTAGCTGCTTTTCCAGAGGACACAGGTTGAGTTCCAGCACCCACAAGGAAGCTCACAACCAGGCAAGACTCCAGTTTCAGGGGATCCTATGACCTCTACTGGCCTCTGTGGATACTGGGCACACACACAGTAGACATGGTAGATAAACATACCTGTAAGCAAAATATCCATACAAGGAAAAAAAACAGACACACCACCCTTAAGAGAAAACCCACAACAAATAAAACCAAACAAGCAAACAAGCAAGCACTGTTAGGGAATCCAAATAAATGCTGAATTTACCTACTAAGGTAAACCATAAGATACAGCATAAATCTGGTATGTTGGCCTATGTCAGTAATCACAGCATTTAGAAAACAGAAGTATTTTGCCAAGCAGTTGTGGTTCACATCTTTAATCCCAGCACTCGGGAGGAAGAGACAACAGGCGGATCTCTGTGAGTTCCAGACCATCTTGGTCTACAGAACGAGATCCAGGACAGGCTCCAAAGCTACAGAGAAACCGAGAAACCCTGTTTTTAAAAAAAAAAAAAAAAAAAAAAAAAAGCAGTACTGCTACAAGTTTAAGACTAATATGCACTACACGGTAGGTTCAACATCACACAGTTACAGTAAAATCCTATCTTAAAAATTCTAGAGAGATGGCTCAATGGATACAGTGTTTGCATCACAAGACCTAAGTCCTGGAGTTTGGATCCTCAGACCCTAAACCTGTAATCATAGGACTCACAAGGCAGAGACACACTGTAAGCTGGCTATCTATACATGCTAGAATTAGCAAGCTCCAGGTTCAATGAGACTCTGCCTCCATAATAAAGTGAAGGAAGAAAGCTGTAAACCTCTGAATTCTACATGCATACATACCTACATACATGCACGTACACACACATCCAAAACATGCATATGTACGCATACACTGTGACCATTAATGTCACATTGACAAAATTAAATTACTTGGGAAATGGAACTCTGTGAAAGCCAATGGAGAATTATTTTGATTGTGTAGAGGTGGAAGGACCTGCGCACTGTGGGTGGTTATCATTCCCTAGACTTCATAAAGAGAGAAAGAGAGCTAGCTGAGCAGGCAGCATGAGGCAGTCTGTCTCCAGACTTCACATACAATGGAACCAGATGCTCCAGACTCTTGCCACTATGAATCCCTGTGAACCAGACTAAGTCCCTTTCCCTTTAACTGAGTTTTGGTTGTTTGTTTTTGTTTTGTTTTTCAAGAAAGGGTTTCTCTGTAATGGGTAGGAGCCTGTCCTGGAACTCAGAGATCCGCCTGTCTCTGCCTCCCGAGTGTTGGGATTAAAGTTATGCACCACCAACACCTAGCTCCCATTTAACTGATTTTGTCAGAACATTTTATCATAGTAACTGAAAAAGAAATTTAGACATAGATAGGTAAATCACACACAAACATGGGGGGAGGGGGGAGACAGAAAATAAATATACCTCATCTGAAATGGGAAAAGGAAGCAATCAGGATATAGCACTTACGGAACTTGCTTTTTTCTATAATAAATAAGCCCAGCAAGTGGGTATGAGGAATTGCTGACAATATGTTTCCTTATTTTCTACCTGCTCATCTTCTAATAATTCACCTTCCATTCTAAGAACTAACTTTCTTTCTTTCTTTTTTTCTTTCTTTCTTTCTTCCTTCCTTTTTGTGGTCTTTTTGAGACAGGCTCTCTCTGCGTAGCTCTGCTGTTCTGGAACTCAAGACATCTGCCTGCCTCTGCCTCCTCCAGTGCTGGGACTACAAGCGCATGCCACCACACTTGGCCCATTCTAAGAATTTTCTAACTAAAGCTTCATCATTTACCTGAATCAATACTGAGGACATCATCATCTTCATCAGGAATCTCAATTATTTCTGTAGGCTGGGAAGCTTCATCCTCGGAGCTACTGTCATGATACTGCAGTCCCAGCTTAGAGTAGAAATCCTTCACCAAAGACTCACAATTAATCACTGCCCTAATATTGGAACACATTAGAAAAGATCAAAGCCAGTGGGGAAAGTAAGTTATTATTAGAGCATTAGAATTTATACACATTTATGCAATACCAAGCCTAGGAGCTCACACCTATGATCCTAGTACTTAGGAGCCTGAGGTACCAGAACTGACTAAGTTTGAGGTCAGCTTGAACAATACAGTGAGTTCAGGGCCAGCAAGGCCTACAAGTGAGAAACCTTTAAAAACAGCAACAACAACACAGTAACAAGAAAAAAAAAAAAAAAAAAAAAAAAAAAAAAAAACAAGAAATATGTATGTATGTTATGTATGTATGTATAGACTGTTTGCCCTTCATTTTTCAAAGTATCTATTCAGAATGCTTTTTCCATAATGTTTCTTGTTTCTACATGACACAATTTGGCAGAGTTGTATCTTTCTACCTGCTGGAAGTCAGAAGACCTGGTACTAATTATCTATATGGATTTGGGAACTAAGAATAAGGTTTTTGTTGAGCCTGAGTCACAAGGAGCCCCCAAGGAGACCAGGAAGACAGACCCACTGATGTCCCTTCACACCATGCCTATCCTACAGGGGGTGGGGGGAGGAACCCTGTCTAGCAAGCTGACAAAGCAGCCTCAAGAGGGGGTGAAGTTCCCTGTCTACTGCTAGGTTTTAAAGACAAAAGTTACAGAATTACATCAGTAGGCACGGGTTGCTTTCTGATTGGTTGACATGTGGGAACAATCAGGAAAATTTCTCAAAGTCATATTTTGGCATAAAATACCTGAGTACCAGGTATTCTCATTGGTCAGTGCTGAGAGGGAACATTCTGTGGTTTCTATGGTTTTGTCTTGTTACTTGCAGGTGGCCTATCATACATAGATACCAATAGTTTTTAGAACTGTATCCTGGAGACTACAGGGGAGGCTTCTGACTCCCCTGGAGCTTCTTTTGTGGCCAAACAGTTCCCAGGATCCAAGAACCTACAAAGTTGGGGCGGGGGAGGGGGTTCTGGAGTTTCTTTGTCTTTAGTTTTGGCACGACGCTCCAGGAGGCCAGAGGATCTAGAGTTTCTTTGTGTTAGAGGCCTACCTGTCTTTTCTGTACCCGGTCATGGCTGCTAAAGCAGGGAGCTGAGTGAGGGTCTGGTCCCTTTATTTTTAAATTATTAGAAGCCTTTTAGTTTAGTTTACCCCTTTCAGTTTTAAATAGTGGCTTAATTTATACAGGAAGGATGGCACATGCCTTCACCTTTAATTTCAGGGGCAAAGGCAGGGGGATCTCTATGAGTTCCAGGCCGTCAGTCTACATAGTGAATTCCAAGGCAGCCAGAGTCATGTAAAGAGACACTACATCCAAGGGGGAAAAAAAAAAAGGAAAATACATAAGCTGGACAATGGTGATGTATGCCTTTACTCCTAGTACTCAAGAGGCAGAAGCAGGAGGATCTTTCCGAGTGATCCTCTGCTGAGGCCAACCTGAACTACAGAAAGAGTTCCAGGACAGCCAAAGACACATAGAGAAACTTTCCCTCAAAACCAAAAACCAAAACAAGTAAGTAGTTGCAACAGTTTTCAACTAGTTTATCAACAATCCAAAATTCACCTGAGTGCAATACTAACATCATCTACTTGGTTGACTGAAGTTGCTGTGGCAATCTGATTGGAATTTGTTAATGTTTCACAGTTAAAGACAGCAAGTTGAGAGGTTGACGATTTAGCTCAACTGGCAGAATGATTGCTTAACCCTTGGTGCAATCCCAAACACAACCCGTAACTCGGGCATGCTGGCCCACACCTATAATCCCAACACTGCGGATGTAAAAGAGCAACATCAGGAGGGTGGAGATCATGACCAAGCAAATTCAAGGCTACACTCTGCTAGTGGTGAGACCCTAAAAAACCAACCAAACCAAAGCTGGGGTGCTGTAACTGCAGCACTCACTCTGGAGATCTCCGCAAGTTTCAGGCCAGCTAAAGTTACACATTGAGATTCTGTCTCACAACAAAATGAAAAACAGAGCTGGGTGGTAGTGCTAAGTGCCTTTCATTCCAAGCACTCAGGGGACAGAGACAGGCAGATCTCTGTGAGTTCGAAGCCAGCCTGATCTTACTGTTACACAGACAAACCCTATCTTAAAACAGCCCCCACCACACCCCCACGTTGGGGGGGAAAAAAAAGAAACCAAACCAAAGAAAGAAAGGGAAAAAAAAGAAAACATCAACTCTACTATCTTCACTTCCTGGTCATCTTAAGAAAGAAGGAGGAAGACAAAGGAATTCAAACCTTTAACCTCCATACTGCTGACCGTGTACCAGCTGCCTCACACTCGGATGAAAAGTGTATGCTGCAACTCTGCACTGTAAACCCTGAGGAAGGCAGGGCTGTGATGACACACCTTTAGTCCCAGCCCTAGGGAGGCAGAGGTGGGCGGATCTATGGTGAGTTCGAGGCCAGCCTGATCTACAGAGCTACACAGAGAAAGCCTGTCTCAAAAAAACAAAAACAACAACAACAACAACAAAAACCCAAGGAAGCGTTAGGCCCTACATGGCTGAACTCTGCTATGAACAATCACCCTAACAAGCATGCAAACGGACGGTACTTTTGCTCCCATGAATCCTTACCTGGATGCATCATCAAGGAGCTGGACATCTTAACCCACCTCAGACTCCTTCTGTAGCGACCACGTCTCCAACTCTGCTAGCTGCTTCTTGCGCTGCTGTATACAGTCCATCTTTTCCAGCATTTCATCAATGAACTGGCGAAGTTCCTCCATAGAGATACCCAGCTCTTCAACCACTGCCTGCTGCAGCTCAGTCATGTCTTCAGAGTCAGGGGCAGCTGTTGCTGCATCCAAACTAACGCACCCAGGGAGGGAGGACATGCTTTTGCCCTGTGCAGAACAAGGAACCACGATGACTCTGACATCAAAAAGCCGGCAATTTCAGCCTCACCATAAAACGCACTCCTATCCTGCAAGCTCTTGTTCATAGTCTGTTCTCTCTCCTCCTTCACCAGAATGCCACCCGGAGATTTTCTGGGGAAACTCACCTTCTCACACAGACCCACGGGCATGAGGAACAGCTTGGAGGGCTTGCAGAACACCGGTCTGCAGTAGAGAGCTGCCCAAAACAATGATTCGCAAAACTGAAGCGTGCTTGTCTACAAAGGAAGGTATTTCTGTGAGCTAACGTGCTCC